GCAATGCGGAACCGATGAAAGGGCTGACTTTGTGTTCCCCAGGCAGAAAAACATGTTTCATTCAAACTATGTGTGTGCCGTAGATGCCCCACATGGCAGGGCTAACGAGAACAGAAAGGTAAGTGTAGAAGAAACCTGTCCTTTCTCGTTTGCTCCAAGAGTCAGCAAGCAGGAGAGCTGTTGAGCCTGTATCCCTATTTCCTTCACTCCTTGCCCAAGTTGTGTTTCAGAAATTCCCCAGCCACAGAGAGCTTGGTTATCCTGGCCACGCATACAGTCGGGCGGTATGGGAGGAGCAGATTGCCTCCGGGACAGAAGTCCTGCAGAGACAGTTGACTGTAAAAGGCAGTAAAAGACCACGCCATGCTTTAGAGAAGCAGCACTGAACTGTTGGAAACCTTCAGATAATTCCCAGTGAACAGAAACCCCAAAGCCATTCTCTTTCCCCTCCTTTCCCCATTTCTGAACTGCTTTGCCTTTTTTTGATCTTACCTTGTGTTACCTTGCTTCGCACACAACCCACAAAGCAATGCACATGAAGAGAAAGGTCCTTCTTGGTTGGCCTGGAGTCCTTTGCCCCCCCATGTAAGCAGCAGGCAAGACAGTGGATCTGCACATTTTTTCAATTGACAGTCCTGCAAAAAGCTCTGAGGCATGTTGTTGGCAGCCCTCCAAAACTAGGAGGGTCAAAACAGCCTTGTGTTGCTTTTTTCCCCGTAAGGTCCCCTATTTATCTTTGCAACAGCAGTTGGTCTCTCTACTCTTAAATTATTGGCATCACTGACTTTGCCTAGGACCACGCACCCAGGATTCCCACTCTGCCAGGGCACCAACACTCTTCTTGCCCTCTGCCTGGGCGCGGGCTGGAAAAAGGGACTTCAATCAGCTCTGGGAGTCGGTGCACACCGTGTCGTAGCAAGGCAAGGGCACTTCTGGTAACCAAGCTGGGCCAGCTGGGGAAAACATGTCTCATGGAGCTGTGGCTTTCTCCTGGCAGCAGTCCCCTGGGGTCAGTGCGGGAATCACACCCGACAGTCCCCAAGGAATTCTGCAGCTCAGGCCTCTCATTTTCTGTGAATAGCACATTTGCCCCAAACTTGCAGGATTTCTCCTTTGAGGACAACTCTGTATTTTGTGGGGATTTCTGAGTAAGACAGATACCAGTTGAAAAATTGAGAAATTTTGAAAAGCCGAGTCTTTAAAGGACTTCGGTCTTTTCTTTATCCCAGGTGATTTTACCACTGAGGAATCAGATTCTCCCAAAGATTTCCATAGAGTTAAAATTCAGCAAACATCCTGCGCTACACTGGAATACATGAAGAAATGCTTTGTATTTAAGCTAAAACAGTGTTGTGACACTGTGAATACACTGATCACAGAAAAGACCCCATTAGATGCCCAGATAACTTCTACGTGGAGACATCATGACATTTCAGCAGCACATAAAATCATTGCCTTCCTTTGTGTTTTGCTGTAAAGACCCCGTGAAATGAGAAAGGTGGGATGAAACAGAGAAAAGTGGGTGCTGGCAGGCCCTGCTGGCCATCCTCTTTAAGGAGTCTGTGACTGCATATTAACCTGGGCACGATTGCCT